CCCAAAACCCCAAAACCCCAAAACCCCAAAACCCCAAAACCCCAAAACCCCTAATTAAATTCTGTTGAAATAAATAGATTTAAGAAATTAAATCAAATAATAAAATATATATGTATTTCACAAAATAGTTAGACATAGTAAAAGAATATATCTTTGAATTCAAATCATAGATCTTCTAATTATATTTATTCTTGCTGCTTATCTGATGATAAAATATTATTTTTAATTTGATTGTTGTTCTTTCGAGAAAAAAGGCTCTCAATAACTTTATTCTTTTAGTCTTTGACCATAACTTTATAAAGCATTTTTCCATTACTTACTACTGGTGTCTTCCTCTCTGTTAATCTTATCATATGCTATTAGTTAGATCTGGCAGTTAGACTTCCAATCGAGGCAGAAGTGAAATCAAATTTTTATGAGTAAGGATTAGTCAGTTAGGCGAAATTCTTTTAAAACGTAGAGTTTTTCAATGTACTCTCACTTCTCTCACTCTTTTCCACTTTATCGAAAGGAGTATGGTCAATATTAGGAAGAGTTAGTTTGCTTGCAGTCCCAGATTTCTTCAGCCTTATAGGGCTCTTAGACTGCTATTGTGATGAAGGCTATTCTTAATGCTGCTTCAAAGGTATTTAAATTCTTTGTGATTTCAAGTCTGGAATACTTTCAAGATTGCTGTTTCTAGTGGTTAATGCTTTTAGTTAAGGAATCTAAGTATTTTTAATAAGATTGCACTATGAAGGATTTTTAACCATTTACAGAAAAGGTGATGAACAAGCAAAAATCTATTATCTTTAATAATCAGCTTATGCTGCAGACCCTCTCGCTGTAGAATTAGATTTATAATTAATAGAAAGTTTTGTGTTCTAGCTCGTATCATCTTTAGTATTTGATTCAATTTTAAGGCTGCTGCTTACCTCTTTTTGTTATTTTCCTTATATTATCCTATCCCAGTGTTGTCTTTATCTCATTTTTTAGGCTTGAAATGTCAAAGCACTCTCCTAGTTATTAACATTAAAATCTATAGCATTATTTTTGTCTAGTTTTTATCTGAGATGTCTATATTTCTCCTATATATTCCTGTAATGATACATATTTTAAGCTTCCCATTTCTTTTTAATGAATGGATTGTCGATTATATTCTAATTTTCAGCAAATAAATTCTTTAACTCCTTATTCATGTTTTCATTATTTTAAGCCTGAATTTCTTGTTTGATAATTTCTTTTTGCTACAATTTTTCGATATTAGCTCTTAGGGCTTCTTAAAATTAATCTTTAAGTTTTGCGTTATTTTTCTACTTTTAGATTTCTTTAATCTCAGATTGCATTTCTTTTCTCATTTTATCAGTTTGCCTCTTAGTATGAAAGTAAACCTCAAAATCAGTACTTTTCTTTGAATTTATCATGATATTTGCTTGTTTCTTAACCATGTCCATTCCAATACTTCTTAGGGTTTTCTTTCTTCTCAGCATTAGGGATATCTTTTTTTATTGCTCATCCTCTGGTAGATTATCTGTAAAATAAGCTTTATAAACTTAATAGAGAGATTCGTATCCTAAAGTTAAATTGAAGTAGATCCTTATTTTTTAAGGTTTGTTTTTTTCAAGCACATCTAGATCACCAGTTTTTACATCCAAATTATCATCATCAGTACTAGATAGTCCTTAATTGATATCGATTACAATAACAGTCAGTTTTTCTCTTTCAGGGAGATTCCCAGCATAAAACAGCCTTGGATCAACTCTTGGTAAAAGCATTGAGATATTATCCATCATATTTACTACAAGCCTCTAAAATACCTGAAACTATTTAGTTACATCGATATTGTTTGGATTGCTTAGAGTACTTATTGATTTGCCTTATTCAATTTCCTTAATATCGATAAATTAATTTTGGTAAATCAGCTAGTCTTTTTTAGTCAATTTTTTGAATACTTTCTCTCAAAGTTGATATAGGGTCATAAATGACTCATTAATCCTCGTTTAGTTCCTTTACTAGACATCAGCAAGGTGCTCAATTCTACGTTTGTTATTATCTAGCATTTCATCAAGTCTTATTTAGTACTGAGAAACTAGACTATCTTGAAACTATAGATTTGACTTTGATTTAAGATCTTTAAGATGCTTTTCAAGATTGCCCTTTAGACTTTGAAGATCCATGATTCTTTAAAGATAGTCTTTAGATTAGTTTTCCAAGCTCTACTTTTAAATTACTTTAGGAATGACTTCATCTACGAGAATTCTCTAAAGTTGCTCAAAATTTGTGACTCCTCTTTGCTTAAATCTTTTTTGTAGTTTGAAGAATTTTAACTGAACATATTAAAGTTTCTCACTAAAAATTTATTAGCAATTTAAGAATGGATTACCTCCAGTAAGCTTTTTTCTTGCCAAATTCAATTTTTCTTTAATTCAAATATTAAAGCCTTCTTTTGAGAATGAAGCATCTGCCTTAGGCGTCGATTTCCTAATCTTTAATATGCTCTAATTCCTTATCATAATCTGAAATCATTTAATCTAACTATCTTAGCTAGTTTTATCTCTGATGTAGCTTCATAAGCTGAACTTACTTCTCCACGTTCAAACTTGTAGCAAGTGTGGTCGATCTCAGATTGATATCGTTGTTAGTGATCTCTGATTCCCTACAAATATTCATCCACTTGAGTGTAGATCTCTCATATCTTGTAATCATATTCCTTGTTTCTACTACCCTATCTCTTGCAATATTATTTTCCTGCTCCATTCTCAAGATGGTATTTTCATAATTCTCATTGTCAAATATAAGCACTTCTGTATCGTATTAGAAATTGTCCTGGTTTTCTATAATTGAATTCTCCTTCTCAATGTCCTTTTGAGTCTTAGAAGAAGAATATATGATGGTTTCATATTCGTATAAATTTATAAGCTATTTAAGCAATTCCTCTCTCTACACACCTTTGTAATAAATTATGTTGAAAAATTTATCAATTGATTCTTTGCTCATCTAATAATAGATTCAACTTTATGAAATATGTTACATGAGTCGTTTACTGAATGAAATTTGAAGCCCAGTTTCTGATAGACACCACTGAATCATTCGCTTGATTAAGCACATCATAAAAAGTTGTCATTTTTTTCAAGTTGGTGTTTTTCTAAGGTGAAGAGTCAGAACTAGCTATGTCTCTCAACATCTGATTTAATTCCCTATCGTCTTCTTTACTCTAAAAGAATTAATGAGTATTAGGGAAAATTTTATAGGCTGAGTAGTACAAAATCATTGACTTCCGTAAGATGGTAAATGCTATTGATTTAAATCTTATCCAATTAACCTTGGCAATTTCCTCCTCCATTATTTTACCCTGGAGTAGTAAGTTAATTTGAGCCTTTCATTTACTCTAAATAAAATATAATTTGTAAATTTAAATAAATTTAACAATAATGGCATTAATCGATGAACTGTGGTCTTCAGTGCCCCCAATCACAAGAACCATTCTGCTTCTTTCGATCATACTAACAGGGGCAGTATCTTTAGACTTATGCACTCCTCTCAAGTTATACTTTAACTATAACTTGATCAAGTATAAATTCTAGGTAAGATTGCTTTGCTATTCTATTTGAGTGATTAAACACGTATAGTTCTGGCGTATATTTACATGTCTCTTCTACTATGGAGAATTTTCAGTCGACACGATATTTGACTTTTTCATTCTATATAAATACTCAATTATGCTTGAGAAGGAGTCATTCAGAAATAAACCTGCTGACTTTATTGTCTTCTTTTTGTTCGGCTCCCTATTGTTCATAGTACTAGCTATTTTCTTTGGATTTGAGTTCTTGTCACCTTGCATCTCCTCTATGATGCTTTATCTTTGGTGCAGAAGAAACTCTACATTTAACATAAACTTCCTTGAGATATTCAATTTTAGAGCTCCATTTCTACCTTGGGTCTTAATGACTTTCTTGTTAATGTTTGGATTCAATCCTATCTTTGATGTTATTGGAGTTGGAGTTGGTCACATTTACTATTTCTTGGAGGATGTTGTGCCCAAAATTCCAGAGACTAGAGATTTCAGATTGCTAAAGCCTCCGTAATTTCTTATAAGAATATGTGATGCATTTGGGATTCATAATTATGCTCTTAACAATGAAGACTTTATTTTTGAGGATGATCAGAATGCTGGAGGTGCGGGTGCAGTAGGAGATATCAGAGAAGATGTATTAATTGATGAGAATAATGAAGATGAAAATAGGCTTATGTTTTGATTTAGTAAAATCAGAGTGTTTGTATTTTATAATTAATAAATTAATGGATAAAATCACTTAAGTCTATTCAAATATTAAAGATAATCTTAGAATGTATGTATCTAATTCTGAATTCATTATCAATATTTATTAGCTCTACGTATTACGACCACGAGGGAGAGCGCATTATCAGAAAGAAACCAGATAGCATAGTCAGGTCTCTTTAATATAATTATCTGCAATAAAGATCAAAAGATAAGAAGTTGTAAAATAAAGTTGAGCCTCACAAGTTATTTATGATGTCGTTGTTCTTTGAAACAGTCTTCTATATTCCGAACAGATTTAGATCTATAGTGCTATTAAATACTCAAACAGTGGTTTATACATAAACAGACTAGGCTCTTCTCTCATTGATGTCTATAATGTTTAATATGTAGAAATAATAAGAACTATCCCTATCTGTAAAATAATTTTTCAGCAGCTTTAAGTTCTTCTTCAGTTCAACAATGCTCTATGAATCTATGTCAATATGTTTGAGGTTTGGAATATTTGAGAAATTATAAAGTGATTAGTTGCTAAATTAGCACTCATCACCTGAGATAAATGGCTTTATAGCAGGTACCGTAGCCTAAACAATCACAAGCCCATTATTTAAGCTATCACTAGCAAATCATAATTATAGAATCTGCGATTCCTAAAGTCTAAAAGAATTTTACAGGCAAGCCTTGACAACAAACTAAGGTAAGCAAGGATTCCTTACAATTTTCCCGATCTCTTTAGCTATTAGAGGAGGTATATTGGGAATGCTCCAATAGGGCTTATTTTTTAGAGTTGCTGAATTACTCGAAGAGCCAATTAGACTTCCTAATGATTTGAATATTAATTCTGGCTCTCATAAATCAAAAATTGATCACTTCATAACTTCAGTCAAAAATGATAACGAGATCATAGAGAAACTTTATTTAACGGGCTTCTTCGATGAGATAATCTACGACTAAAACTTCAAGCCACCTAGATAATACAAAAACTTACTAATAACTGGAATTGGAATGGCACTATTGCAATCAATTGTAATGACTCCAATTGATATATTAGTCTTCAATCAAATGCAAATGAGAATGTATGGACCTAAGGCTCTTCAAAAAGTTAGATTAAGCCAAGTTATTAAGGAATTAAAGTACATTCAAGGCTTACCTAGAATAGGAACAATGATTTTTGCATCTTCATTCGTAAGAAATCTATTCATTGTGAGTGGATTTTACATAAGTGAAAATTATTTAAGATCCAAATTAATTAAAGAATGATTTAATTATAAAATATATGATCAGCTAAAGAATATTTTCCTATGGGGTTTTGGGGTTTTGGGG